ACAGAGTTCTTTGGTGCCGATTTAAAAGCTCAATCAACTGTTTCTCTTAATCTGCATGAGTGAAAAGTTGTCTGTTTTCACTTTCGTTTACATTTCAGACTGTGTGAATGTAATGTGAATAATGGAGGCTTCCTGCTCCCACCTCCAGAAGATGCTCAACAGCCAAACTGAACCTGAAGCCCACAAATAAATGAGTCTGGTGGATAGAAGTGGAAGATCGACTCCTTTTGTCTCTTGCAACAAACCTCAAAATTGCTCCTAATATGGAGAAAGTTCATTTCAAAACCAAACACAGCAAAGAGATTCAGCCTAACAATAACGGCGAATCTACATTTAATTGCGTTTTTAATTTAATATAAAGAGCATCGATGCTGCCGCCCAGAAATCTCAGCTTCTAAATCTGAGATCCGCTCATCTCGTCTCAGCTGCGTGGGTGAAACTCAGACGGAGGAGAAGCGGAGCAACGTTCACCCGCCGAAATGCAGAATAACGCTAATAATACAAGATTATATCGGCTCCGAAAATACCTCCGCGCTTGTCTAACTTTGAGCGCAGACCGAGCTCCTCCAGTCTCAGAGGTTATTTATATGCAGGAGAAGCAGCGCCGGTGAATTTTAATGCCAACGCGACTTGGGCCTCAGACACCAATGAGAAGCTCGTGGTTTTGTTTCAAGGCTGTGATCAGACGGGAGCTGCTGACGGTTATTATGACAGACGGTGGCAACAAGGAACTATTTCATTATCCTTAAATACCAGAAAAGATGTTTGTCAGTTGAGTTTGTGGGTTTGAAATCAAGAAAAAAGAGCAACAAGAAGACGGCACGAAATCACAAACTCTGGACTCTGAGTAATAATACTTGCAGCAGATGATTGTTTATAACACAAGTATTTCTTCTAAATGTTGTGTTTTTGACATAAAGTTCTAGTTTTGAGTCACAGAATGAACTGAAGGTTTGATCGTTCTGAATTTGTGAACAGTGAACCGATGAGTCGATTAACAAGGTTTTTTGAGGTTTGACGTTTATCGAGGACCTCCGTGCGGCCAGACCGACCTTCTGCAGGAAGAGGACGATCCTCTGGACCATCTCCGCCCGCTGCTCCTCCAGGCTGAACAGCGTCCGCGGCGTCCGGATGAACACCTTCGTTTTGCCGTACGCGACGTCGTGGTCGAACCCGCAGCCCTGCAGCAGCCTCTTCACCGCGTCTTTGTCCGACGGCAAGTCGTGGTTCGGCCACGTGAACTCCGAGATCATCTTGTATCTGGAAGGAAGACAGAAGTCAGAGGAAATGCTAAATATCACACAGAATGAAAGGTTGTTTAAAGTGTAGATTAGTGCGGGAGGGATTAAGTCAAATCCGGATTACGGTATGTTTATATAGCAACAGCACTCCCAGACAGCAGCAGCGGCTTAATGACTCAGGAACAGCTCGAGGAACACGACCAAGAGCTCTAGGAGTTGATGCACCCATCAAACTCCCCAGATCCCAGTTCAAGTAACTGATCTGGAGGCTTAAAGGGGACCAATACAATATACAATATTAGGTTCATTGGTGTGAACAGAAAGTTACTAGTTTGCTGCTTATGGACACACACAGCTTCTCATTACTGACTGTCCAGAACACACAACTGTAGCTTCTTCAAGGTCAAATAGGCATTTTTAAGCCATGCTAGCAGTGATGCTATTGGATTGAAATCAATTAACTGTTGGTGATCCTTTAATTTTCCTTTAAGAGCCAAGATCCCAACATAAAGTCACTTTTCTACGACTTTGTTTAGGCTTTCGAACAAATAGTTGCATAAATAATCAGCCTCAGTTCTACCTTGATTTTAGCGCTAATTAACAAAAATCAATTAAGATGGCGAACACGTTAGCTTCGTCAACGATGAATTCAGAGACGATGTGAGTCTTTCTGTATCATAAGCAGCAACAATAAGTCAGTTTCATTGCTGGATTTCCTGCCACTTGAACAAAACGCGGCACGTTATCGAGATACAACATAAATTGGGTTCAAAGTTATTGACTTCAATGAACTTTTAAGGCTGAACTTGAAATGTGCTTTTTTACGTTGCTCATTTCAGTTGTTTATGATCTTGTCCACATCATCAGGAACCCCGTAACTTCAGTTTAACTCTCTTTTTACACAACATGGGCTCATTTTTGTCTGCAATACAAACTCCTGCACCCCTATGGAATCAGCACAAACATGGCTACAGGTAGAGAAAACTCAGATATGTCAGTGAAAACAAACTGGAATCTACATGTACCACATTTATCCAAGTGTCATCAGGTGTTATCTAAACTGGAAAAGCTCCATACGGATGTTCCACCATGCAGTATGTAGCTTTGAACAACTTGCTTTGCTCCTCTGTTCCCTGTTTTTGAGTCATGCTGCAAATTATGTTTTATTTTGCTCTCAGTGTCTTTAATTAGTTTCTATTCTTGTCTCGTGTCTGCTGTGCGTAAACACAGCCTGCAGTTCAGCCGAATAACTCCTAAAAAAAACTCACAGTTGAGCTGAAAAGTGCAGAAAGTTGTTGTTTCTGTAACAGAATCTGGTGCAAAAGGTGGATTTTTTTGGCAAGATCTCAAACGAGACTTGTAGAATAAAGTAGTTTTGATGAAATATTACAATTTCAAGCTTAGATGTGGATAAATTACCTCAACTGCATGAGTTAAAGGATCATTTAATGGTTAATAAATCCAGTGAATCTTTGTGTTTTCACAGATTCTGGAGCTGATAAATGGTGGATTTTGTCCAGAGGGTTAATGAGCTCTGATGTCTTGTGGAAAATCTTCAGTTTTACATTTTTTTATTATTATTATGGGAATCATTTGGTTTTAGTTTGGCAAAAACAAACAAAAACATCTCTGTCTTCATCTTGTACTGGATCTTCAGATCAATACATATCTAAGGCTCTGGCATGTTTTATCACTGAGACGCTGTGGGACTTTGCTCCTGGCAGGGAGCCACGGAAATCATATAGTTGGTGGAAGAAAAAGAGGATTAATTATTGGGTATTGCATCCAATCACAGGCGCTAAGTGGTCACATTATGCTCTTAAGAGTCCTTTCAGTGCTGTAATTTGCTTGAAACCAGGAAACTTAAAGGAAAGCTTTATTTTTAAAAGACTTTAATAACTATTATCCATCGACATTACAGCCCCGAAGAGCTCAGACTGAAGCGTTGCAAGAAAGTTGACAACATTTTGTACGTTTTGAATGTGTTTCAATGAACTTTTCACATCTTAAAAACTCCAGAACACAGTTGGTTTAAAAGCTGGAAGGTCGTGAAGTCATTCCAAGACAGCAGCTTCACAGCTCCACGGACGCTCGTGTCGTTTCACGGCCGAGCCGCCGGCAGAGCGGTGATGTAACTCGGAGTCCACAAGAGGACCGGAGTTGTTACGCAAAACACTTTTAGGATTACCTAATCCAGCGTCCTCCATCGAGTCCGCAAGGTCAGTGGGTAAATGTGACAGATGGAGGACAAGAGCAAAGCCAGAGAGCTACTCAGTCCGAGTCAAATCCTGCACAGATAGTTTTTATTTTGGAAAAGTGTCATTACGAACAAGTCGAGCTTAAGATCTCATCTGTTACACAATGAGAGCATGTGTGTGTGCGGTAAGTGCAGCGTGACACTGAAGCTCTCCGGGTGTCATCGAGAGTAAAACAAGGTGACGTCAGTGTTGTGTCCTTCACAGGGAACAAAAGGTGATGAACACACATCTATCCATCCCCACAAGTTCATCCTTGAGCTGACCTACAGCAGCCTCCGTTCTTTCTCCTCTTCGGTGCAAGACGTCATGATGGTTATTATCAGACACTGTTTAGTCAATAAACTTCACAAGTTCTAATGAGCTTGGTTTCTGTCCTGAAGCATGTTTTTATGTTGGACCAGCAGCTCAAAACCCCCAAATGTTTAAATTTAAACAAACAAAAGCAGCAGACAAGCAAGCAAAAAAATAAAGAACAGAATCAAAGACTACTGTAATTTCCAGACTATAACTTTTTTCACACACTTTAAACGCTGCAGCTTAAACAATGATGCGGCTAATTTATGGATTTTTACGATGTTTATGAATTTGCCACGAGACCAAAGTGACACTGAGAGCGACGACGACAGAGAGACTGAGGAAGTGTGTGACGAAGTGATTCTGAGGCTGTTCAACTCCTGAAGACACTGAAGAAGACGACTTTCGTGGTTGATGAAGATAGCGATCAATGACTTTTCCTGGAAGGCTATTAAAAGTTAAAAAATCTTTCTGTGTAAACATCTCATGGTACAGCGTGGACACCTGCAGCTTAGAGACGAGTACGGCCTACATATGTACAAAACTGGTTTTCTTTTTAAAGTTAGTGGGTGTGGCTTATACTCAGGTGGTTTACGGTATTTGCGACTTCTCTTGATGAAGCAACACTATTGATTAACCGATTATGTAAATGTCCACTTAAACCAATGAATGGACCAGCTGCTTTATCTCTACGGATACTTTGAGCAGATCACAGATGGATATAGTTCACTGTGTTTGCTCATAAATAACAAAAAAACTGCAGAAATCATTCAGTCTGCAGCACATGTGAAGGTTTGAGTTTATCAGAGTTCATTGCTCATCTGTAATTAAACTGTTAAAAGCAATTAGGGGTCTAAATCAAACAAGCAGGAAACAAAGCAGCTGCTACGAGTCCTGTGTCAAATACTCTGTTAGAATAATAATAATAATAAAATGTTATTAACAAAACTCATTCAGGAAGTCTCGCCTCAAATAAAGCAAACACTTCATTTATAACAAACATCAGTATCGCTGATGGAGGAAGAGGAGAAGATTGAACTAGTAGAATTTTTATTTAACTTTTTTTTATCTGTAGATCTTTATTTAGTTAAAAAATGTAAATAAATGCACTGCAGACAGAGTGCAGATGTTGATTTAAGTTCAGCAATTTTGGATTTCATTCGTTATAATTATTAAATTGTTGCATTTGTTAAATGGATGCAACATCCTGGTACATATCCGGATTACATATCAGCCGCCCTGCTCTCTAAATATTAGTGTTGGTCACTTGGTCAGGAACATTTTAATGTTTAAATCTGCATGTAGATTACTTTGGAGTTAAATCAGCTGAAAGTAATTAAGATGAAAATGAACTACTACCAGTACTTCAGAAGTACCTCGAAACTCTACGTGAGTTCACTAAATGTACACAATCACTGTTACTCACTATTGTGGATCATATACAGCTTCACTACCTTTAAATTATGGGTACATTTCATACTTTAAGCCTCATCTTTTGATCGTAATTTAAGTATATTATTGCATTTTTCAATTTCTTCCCCATCTTTACTAACTTAATAACCATTTAATCACTTTTGTGTCATGCTTTCTGTCGTATTTTCTCAGAACACACACCGGTGAGATTCAAAGGATCATTGTTCAAGATTGCTATTTATTTATAGGTTTATTTATGTTTCTATTGGCTCAGTGGAGCAGATTTTTGTACTTTTTATTCATTTCAGTGTTGGTATCGGCCTCAGACGTCCGTTATTGCTGCTTTAATTGCAGGCAAATTAGCGCTAATCAGGATGTAAACAGGTTTGCGGTGTCAGGTGTTGCAGCTTGGCCATGAATAAAACATGATGCGTTATTAACACGAGGCGTCGACTAGTTCTTGTTTGTTCTTCTGCCGCGTTAACATGGGCTCGTTTTTCTGCACATCTAGTGTTTTTTTAAATCAAAATCTCTTTCTCTAGTAATTGCAATCAGACGTGGGTGTTTTTAAGGCAGCTTTTAATCACAGGACAAATTATTACACTTGAAAATGACGAGACTTCTGTAAATAAGGAAGACGTGGGTGATGGAGGGGCGATCTTATTGATACAGCTGATTAGCTGCTGAGGCTGCACAGCTCAGGTTTACAGTCTGGACCGTTCATGGCCACCAGTCACATCAGCTCTACGCCTTTAACAGGACAAATACATGCAAATCAGAATTGTGGCGATTTTCCTTGCTGGACCGGCCGATCTGATCTGCAGAGTTGAATTAATGCACTGCTAACTGGGGAAAACTGTGCAATTAGACCAGCAGCAGTTTGTGCTTAATTGAATGAGCCGGACTGTTGTTGTTCTGATGTGTTGATCAAACGTCCTGCGGTCGTCGTTTATTGCTTTTAAACCGGCCCTAATAGGAAACTTGTAAATGAAGCCTATTCAGACAACGCTCATATTCAAAATGTATTGATTTCATGCAGATGTTTGACACTGATTGTGTTAAACTGAACTGGTTTGAATGTGTGTTGATGCTGTAACTGATCTGAAATGTGCTGCTGATTATTAAATGACACTGAGACGATATCTCCTCGATAAACACTCATATCTGTGTGATTCCTTTGCACCAGATATTGAGGCAATTTAGGCTTGAAAACTTGTTTATTTTTATATGTAATTAGAGCACAAACTATCAGTCACTAAATCTGACTCGACTAAAGCAAAAGTTTGATCATTTTCAGTTTACAAGCAAAAACTTTTCTCTGATTTCAGCTTCTTGAATTTGAGGATTTGCGCCTTTAGATGGCACTAAATTGAGACTATCTGGGCTTTTTCACTGTTTTCTGACACTTTGAAGACCAGAAATCGCCTGCAGATCAACTGACAAAGTGGTTTAAGGCCAACGAGTAATAAATAATAACATTTAAGGGCAAGAAGCACAAACTAGTCGCTAAATTTGAGTCGACTGAATGGAACGTTTGATAATTTTCGCTTTCAGTCATTTTACGAGGAAAAATTGGAAATATTCTCTGATTCCAGCTTCTTAAATATGAGAATTTGCTGTTTTTGGCTTTAGATAGCACGAAATTGAGACTATTTGGGCTTTTTCACCGTTTCGCATTTCACATTTACACATTTCACAGACAAAAAAATCAAGAAAAAATGTAAAATATTCTCTGATTCCAGCTTCTTGAAAATGAGCATTTTCAGCTTTCTGACTTCGATGGTAGTTAATTGAGACTATCTTGGCTTTGAACTGTTTTATGACACTTTACAGAAAAGACATCACCTACAGATTGATGAACAAAGGTAGTTTCAGCCCAACGAGTAATAAATAAAAACATTTAGGAGGGTTGTGAGGGGAAACCTCTGTAGGAAGCACAAACTATCAGTCGTTAAATTTGAGTCCAATGAAGGGAAAGTTTGATTATTTTCGAATGCTTTCAGTCATTTTACGAGGAAAAAGGGAAATATCTCCTGATTCCAGCTTCTTAAATATGAGAATTTGCTGCTTTCTGCTTTATATGGTGGCAAATTGAAGCTATCTGGGCTTTGAACTGTTGTGCCAAATACCATTTGGTGAATTTTAAAAGGCACTTTCCACCGTTTTCTGCCATTTTACCGACAAGCTATGACCTGTAGATCGACTGACGAAGGCGGTTGTACCTCTGTAGGAAGCGGGGATACGTCTGTCTGTTGGCGAAGCCGGCTCGACGCACCCGTACGTTCTCCAGCAGCCCCAGGTACTCCACCTGATGGCGGCAGCGCTCCTGCTCNAGAAATGTGTGCTGTCCACAGTCTGAGTCTACGTCGGTCAAGATTACTCACATATATCTGCTAAAACTGTCATTTTTGATGCTTTGAAATTCAACTGTTATCACTGGAGCAAGTGTTTTGGTGCATTTTTAGCCAGAAAGGACAAGAAATTGTGAAACAGGGTGGATTGGGATTGACTCAGTCCTCATCCTTAAGGTCTCTGGGATCCTCCTGTTTGCTGCAACTTTAGAAAACTTTACATTTCAATACAATAAACTACTTTTGGGAATATTTGGAGAAGTCTTACGGTGGGGAAAATGTCAGTTTGCCCGTGATAAGGCCTCTCTGGTGGAGTTTTCTTCTAACTAAAAGTGTTGGATAGCTCAAACCTAATCAGCCCCACAACCTTGAAGTGGTATTTTAGAGAACGAGGTTGAGGGCAGTTGGGGTTTTTAATCACTGCAGAACACTTTATAGTTCACTATAATATAAACTGAAAGCGTTTCACAGAATCAGTGGAGACACATGAAGGCAGAAGAACAGAGGAAAGAGCTGTCAGCTTCCTCATCACGGCGGAGAACAGAGGAGGCCCGTCGCTGTTCTTCAGAATGCAGCAGTAAGGTAGTTACAGGAAAGTTAAACCGTCCCGCTTTGATCCGCCTCAGCGTTCTCACCTATCGGGCGGCGTGGAGGGCGATCGCTCTGGGAGAGACGCTTCAGAGGGATTCAGGAGGGGATTAGAGATCATGTTTCTGCTGAGGTTTGGCAGCAGAGAAGATCAGTTCTGGACAGCTGAGCAGAGCGGCGGCGGTATCTCGGCGCTGCTACTCGCTGGAGAGCTGCTTACTCACTTTCAACGTCAGTCAAGGCCCAAAACGAGATTTAAATTATGAGTATCTCGTCGCCTCGAGATGCGGCTCAAAACAAAACAAAATAATTAAATAAAGCGTTTTTATCCCGGGTAGACGTTTTCATTTAGCCCCAGACAAGCCCCCCGTGGCCTCGCTGTGAAAGCCGACGACCCCGGACACGACGCCGCCGTAAACCTGCCTCTGCACAAAGACTACGGCGAAGCAATTAAGGCCGCGGCTCAGAATACACGGGGGGAGTCTCTGCTCTCGTCACCGCCGCCGCTCTGACAAGCGCCGACAGTTACTGTGATGTGGATGGCTGAGCTTGAATTTATGAAATATTCATTTTAAGGCGGAGGGACGGCGGGGGGGAGGCCCATGTTTAATTTATAACATCTGTATTTATGTTGGACAGCGTGCTTCTGTGGGCCATTATTCCAGCTTCTTTAGGTATCATTAAAGACCTCTTATATTTATTTTTCTACCTGCTTTGAGGCTCAGAAACGTCGAGTGATGGCGCATTATTCAGAAGGATTCATGTTTAATATCAATTTAATGCATTTATGCAGCTTCACATCAGGATTTCTCTCGTTAGCTTTTCCAAAATCGCCATCCAGGACAGTCAGAAACCACATTTTTGTGTTTTTTTTTCTTCCATTCTTATAACAATCTTACTGCAGGTTCTTGTTGTGATTAAAGAAGAAAAGATGAAGATGAGATTTGTGTAGAAAAAGCTTAATGTTTTTGCTTGATTCGTTCCTTTTCTGTTTATGAGCAATTTAATAATCAGCAAAATCGGCACTAATTTTATTTTAAAACAGTTGTTAGCCGCGTCCGAGACAAAGCAGCTTCCATTCAATCCTAAATCAGTTAAAGTGGAAACAGACACGTTTATTTAACGCTATAAAATAAATGCTCATTGCAGTTTAATGGCTAACAACACCATCAGCGTCTGGTTGGTCTCTCTCTGCACGACAGACAAGTTTCAAATGGAAACCAAGTAAGAAAAAGCTTCATCCGGAGCAGCATTCGTTCACTTCTGGCGATGTGGGCGCGGCACAAAAAGCTGCAAACACGAACCGACGACGACTTATTAACCGCGGCGAATGTGCGAGCAATCCAGGGCCGGTCGTCTCCAACAACTCTTGAGGGAAATATGTTGGTTCTTTTGCAGCTAACTGCTTCGCAATGCAAAAAAAAAATCAGGCTGGTGAGCAATTGTGGCAACTAATATGTCAGTTATTGATTAATAAAAGGTTTCGGTGCACAAACGGAAGACGCGGAGCAATAATTGGAAATGCATCCGAGGCTTCCCTGCAGGATGAGGATTAAACGGAGCCCCCCTTCCTCCAAGTAGGACACATTATGGTAATTTAAAGACACAGAAAAACTCACTGTTCTCCCATATTTGGGCCGGCATTAACCACCCAACCTGTCTTGAGGAAGATTCCCAGATTGGAGTTGTTTTTTTTTTTTACTTGTTTGATGGGGCGGGCTAAGTGGCATTATTCTAAATCCACGAGGCAAACGGCACGACGAGAAAGAGCCTGACAGAACTGGCACCGCGGTCCCCCGGCTGGCATAAGGCGCCGTGGTGTGCCAGGTGCTGATAAGGGGATTGCTCGGCGCGGCGGATCCAACTCGGAGCCGGCGATGTTTGTTTGAGCAACAGCATGATGGATACAGGAGTCAATTCTGCTGTCACACCACTATTTGATTTGGTGTGTCAGGGAGTGCATATTGCATGAGTGAGCAGGCATGTAGGGAGCTGCAGAGGGCAGGATTAAATACCCCTCCTCTCTCTCTCTCTCGCTCTCTCTCCCGACACCTCAGATGTTTGTTTTGGTGGAAAAGCTCTAATTCCTCCGGGGCTTTTCCCTTCATTATCAAAAGGCTGCTCATCCAGCGAGATACAAGATAGGACGCTCCGCGGGGAGACGTGGAGGTCTGTGGGAAAAGGCTGCACCGGGTCAAACGGATCGATGCGGAGGTCAACCAATCAATCCTCTGCAGAAGTTAATTTGGCCCGGAGAAGCCTTTCATGTCTGAACACGATGTGAAGGAATCCGCCTGCTAACATAATAATAAGAAAATGCAATCACGTGGCTCCAGATGATGTATGGAGAACGTGCGCCCACACACCACTGACAGCTTCTGCATCTTTTTTTTTTTTAAAAGCATGTCCTTAATTCGAGTCCACGCAACCCATCTTTCTGTCAAAGTTTCCAAAAAAATAAAGTTTGCACGCCGAGCGAACACGTGTCAGCGAACGGAGACGATGACATTCTCGCCTGAAGGAGGTGTCGCGAAACCGCCGACGCGTGATGCCGGAGTCACAGATGCACACGCTGATCAATATTCATGGCGGATCATTTCTTAACATGTCAAAACCGAAGGGAGGATTGATACGCCCGGTTAGAGAGCGATCGCCTACAAACGCGTTCCGTTGTTTTTGCTCGACGCCGCGGTATCAGTCTGAGCTGCCGATATATCAGAACAAATCCATATCGGGGCTGCGGCGAGTTATTACTTTCATTATGAGCTAATTGGCAATTCTATGAGTTTAATTGAAAGGAATAATTTGTTTGCTTTGTTCCATCGACGGTCCAAAATTCCATTCTGATAAAACAAAACAGAGAAAAGCAGCTAATTTTCATACGTTTGGCTGATTCGCTTGATAAATCAATCAATAATTACAGCTTTTCAAGGTTCAGTGTCTGTTATAAACAATTTAATAAGCTTGAAATCACTTCAGCGTCGAGGCAGAGGTAGCTGTTTGTCATATTTAAGCCAAAACAGTTTCATTTCGACTCAGCTGAAGTGGAAATACACATTTATTTGCTGTAATTTATCACTATGAAGTAAATGTTGATTGCATAGTTTAATGGCTGTAGAATAATATAATGACACCATCTGCTTTGGGATTGGTTCCTTATACGTTTCGAATTAATTCTGTCAGACACCTGGTTCGAAATTGAAAATGACGGTTTAATTTACGGGTAAATAGAAAAAAAACAGAGTAACTGTGAAACTACACTGCAAAAGAAAAAGAGATCTGTTGTTGGAAAAGGAAAAGACGGTTTTCAACAAAACCAACAAAGCAAAATCTAGTTTTTATATATGTTGTGAAATTACCTGAATAACTCTATTTACAAAGATTTTATGGCTCTATGTTCATTGGTTTAATATTATAGGGAAGTGCATCTGCATCAGAAATTAAAAAATCCTTTTTAAAAAATAAAGCAAAATAAAGACAACCAGCTGTTCTCCCAGTAAACCTGCACTGAGAGAAACTGACTGGTTAACACGTTCAATCTGTACATTATTACTGTTAAATATTCAAATATATTATAATATACATTTGTGCAAAATAAACTCTCTAGCGATACAAGAATCTATGCAAACCCTAGAAGATTTTTTTGTGCAAGATCTGAATATCCACACATGCAAGAACCACGATGCATGAATATTTATTTAATATTTTCATTTTTTTACTTTTAGTACCTGCATGTTTGCACTATTTCCTTTGCTGTAANTTCTCCAGCAGCCCCAGGTACTCCACCTGATGGCGGCAGCGCTCCTGCTCAAACAGCAGAGGAGACTTGACGTCGTTGGGCTTGATGCAGCGGACGTAGTAGGGTTCCTGGAGAAAGAAGGAGAGGTCAGCTGTGGGTTATAAACGACAGGACGTGCATTTAATCTGTTTAATCAAGCTGCAGTGCAAAGCCAGGGATGGTAGGAGTGTTGTAGGTACACTATGGATGTTGATCTGGATGATTTTAACCTTTTCTGCGGATATTCAACGAGTGTCCTTTGACAATACAAACGATCACCAACGATTCTGCAACGTTTAATACACTGCAAAACAGTCCTCTATGCAACATTACAACATCTACATAACTGAAGAAGAAGCAGGGAACAAATCTCCATCGTGGCGTCAAACTCTGTGTGTTTATTATCATTATTATTCAGTTTTAATACCGTGTCAGGTCATGGCTGGCCACAAATGTTGCCCTGTGAGTTTGTTCTTCTGCACAGCTGGTTGTATGACTGCTTTGGTTTGATTTATTTAACTTAAAGTCATAATGAAGCAGTGACTCTGGTGTGTTTGAAGTGTTGCAGGAGCACTTGGAGCAGAGCATCGCTGCATAAGGCTGCATGTTTGAGGATAAATATTGAATCATTACTCATGCATCAAAAACAGAAGTGATAGGATATGTTACTGGATCAATATTTTGACCCATCCCTAATTTACATACAGTCATAACAACATTACAACGCCTCAGATCTTTATGCGATTTCCATATCTTACCAGTCTATCAACTAGTGGAGCAAAGTTTCTAACGTTAAAGTTTTATTCTACAAAAATGGAACAAAACACGTTCAAACTGTTAATTGTGGTGAAATGATTGATTGTTTTTTTCCCAAAAACAGACAGATAAATTCATAATTTTAGTTAATTTTAAGGCTTTTTACAAAGTTTCTCATTACAGCCTCAAAACTGGGAGGATTGAATTTTTTTCTTCGCATCATATACTGAATTTCTTTAGGTTTTAAGATCTTATTTGGACAAAAATCCATCTGCAGACATCCCGGTAGCTCTCCAGAAATCATAATACTACATGTGCAACACGTTTCCTCGATCTTATTACATGTCCACAACAAAACAATTAATAATTTTACAGATAAAATCCATTAGTTGCATCCGTCTGTGTGGATAGTTTGACATTCTCATTGTTGATGTTATGAGCTGCACCGAAGTTAGAAATGTTCAAAATGTGGTTCATTTATAAAGTGATGCAACAAATCTGTTTCCACTATCTCCTATTCATATTTACTTTTGCAATCAAAGAGGCTGAAACTGTGCAATGTTTTAACTAATACACTCAAATACATGATTCTTTTATTTAACTCCACTGCTGCCCGGAGAACATTTGCTTTTCTTTGACACATAGTTGTTGAAGTTTCTCCACACACAGAGTCTGTGCAGTAAATAAAAGACCCGTCGTATTATAACAGCAACGTTCCTCTAATGTAGCTCTCAAATGAACGCATTTATTACTGACATCCATGCAACTTCACAACCTTGGATTTCATGTGTTTTGCCATCAGAATTTTTCCTTTTAATNTTGGATTTCATGTGTTTTGCCATCAGAATTTTTCCTTTTAATCACTTTATGCCATGTGACGATGCAACAACGCAGGTTTTAACCAACCGGAAATTGGATGCAACATTTCTAAAAATGATTCGTCACCTTGCAGGCGAGGTTCTCCACCAGTGAGATCATGGAGTTTTTGAAGAGCGTCGCGGCCGTCAGTGGTCGCTTGGTGACCTCGGTGATGCTCAGCTTGCCTTCAGGCCACATCCCCTTCAGCACCGGGTTGGAACTGGACAAAGGCGACAAGAAAAGCTGTGTTATTAAAAGGAACAACATCTACAGCTGAGTAAAAACAGGAAAAATGTTTATGAGCAACCTCTTTCTTTTTAAATAGTCCAAAAACGAGAATACGAGCAAGAGGTGAGATAACCAAAGGCATGTTTACACTCGATGTTTCTCACCAAAATGCAGTTAGTGTTGAGTGTTTCCTCGAGCTATAACAAATGTCTTAAATACATATTTTAAATCCTGCATTGTTTTCATTATTGTTTAATTGAGAGCATCTCCTCCTCTGTTGCTGCCTGCAGAGAGCTGTGCTTCTTAAAGTGTTTCATCTCCTGCAGATCAGTGGGGTAGCATGCAAGCATGAAAGTCAGGACTGGTCCCAGTGCATGTCCACAATGTGAGCAAAACGAGAATTAACTCAGTGATAAATGGCTCCAAAGGGAAACTACAGTGATTAAAAAACTCCATGGGAATGTTTAATATACGAGGGATCACGGAAAAGTTCCAATCCTGTTTGTAGTGAGCGCGCAAGGAGCTCGTCATGGTGTCAGGTGTGCAAAATATGCAGTAAAGGTCATCCGAACATTTGCGATTTCACCCTGGACATCAAACTGGAGCAACAAAAAAACACATCACGCTCTGTGTCAGCCAGCAGCCGAGATGAGAAACGTGGGTCTGCAGCTACCAACAAGAGGAGAAACAGCAGTGAAAAGAGCTCAAGTTTCCAAAATCTGGACAGTTACCAGCTGGTCAGGAGCACCAGGAGCATGCTCAGTTGTTTCCATCAATGTTTACATGACTGTGCATCAGGAAGTTTGTCCTTCTGCACAGCAGGTTAGATAAATGCTTCGATTTTTTAATTAAAAGTTGCAATGAAGCAGTGACTCTGGTGTGTTTTGAATGTTGCAGAAGCTCTTGGAGCAGAGCATCATTGCACGATGCTGCTTGTTTAAAGAGAAATATCAATATTTGGCAACAATAATCAATCATTCATAGCAAGAAGAAGTGATATGATATGTTGCTGGATCGATATTTTGCCCCACCTGTAATTTATATAAATCTTCTCATGGCATACTAAAGTTTCTATTAGTAACATGTTTAAACTGTGACATATGGCTTGTTTACATACCAAGACTTCCAGGGAGTGTTGCAGGAGCACTGGGAGCAGAGCATCACCGCACAAGGATGCATGTTTCAGGGGAAATATATATATACATCTGGCACCAAACATCAATAATGTATCACAAAAGGAAGTGATGCATGTTGCTAGATTGACATCTCGTCCCGGTGCTACTTTCTACAGGTGGGTGACTTCGGTGTCTTTGCAGTAATTTCAATGGCATAATAAGGTTTCTAACGTTAGCATGTTTAGACTGTTAAACATGGCATTTTTACATGATGGGACTTCCAGGGAGCATTGAAAGTGTTGCAGGAGCACTGGGAGCAGAGCATCAGTGCACAAGGGAGCTGCCAAATTTGAATCAGGAAGGGTTTTATATATTCATAGGCACATTCTCAGAACTTTTTGATCACACGAAAACTCAACATAGACGAAATGCACCAACCTAAAAAAAAAAGGTGCCTTTAAACAAAAATCCTTATTTCGACCTGTATAAACATTACCATAAAATCCCCATCGGACAGGTCTGCAATTATGAAAACTCGCATTTATATTCAGGAGGAGAAAAGCACCAGAGGACTGGAGAACAGGAGGAGCTGGATAAGAGCAAGCTAAGAGCAGGTTGCTGTACTGGTCCTGTTCACGTAATCAGAGTGCTGTGATGAATACTATGAAGAGTGTGTCGGGGCGATTGAACCGGGGTGTGTTTTGGTTGTGTCACCTGTTGTACAGCAGTCTCTTGAAATCCTGGAACAGAGTGTCTTTGTTCTTATCAATGAAACCCACCACAGAGTACCTGTGAAAAGAGACACGCAGGTAAATGCATGTTCAGACACACTTTCAATGCACTTATAACCAGAAACATTCTATCTACATCACTACTGCGACCTTTTGCCTAAATGCAACCCTGAAACAAATCATCCTGAAATCGTGGTTATAATTGCAAACGGCCTCGTCTCAGCCACAGAGCTGCAGGCCGCCAATAGCCTTATGATAATATAGGAGTTAATGTACGCCGTTAGTGGCGCGGCTGCTATAAATACCGGGGCCGTTACACTCCGTGCTGAGAGATGCGAGGTGCATTTCGCCTCCTGCCTGGTCTAAGTGGCTCAGGGATCAATCAAGCCCGCCAGTCGGGCCGGGCTCTTCTGCCGGTGGCGTCCCCTGGGTGGCCGACACTTAGTCTGCACAAATGGGCTCAACCTGCTTTCCTGAGAGCACTTTTGGGGGGGCTTAGCGTGTGTGATTTATTCATTTGAACGGTGTCCAAGTGCTTCGGGGATTGGGATGTGGCGCTGTCGTTTTTTATTTGAGGAGGAGGGGGGAAGGGGGACGTCATGCAATTAAGATGTCATTTAAGCGTTTGAGTGTGTGGAGCAAATTTATATTAGAGCCTACAAACTGGGCTTTTTTGTTTCTGCACGACTACAAAGGATGTTTTTTTTTGTCCAGTGATTTGGCACATGTGCGATGGGTATTGTTAAAACAGAATACAACGCTTAAATTAGCATCCGGGCTAGTGAAAGTCTGGTCGTGTGGGAATTTGTCAAAGATTTCTTGTGCATAAAATCATCTTTGATTCCCAAAGACTGTGCATAAAAGATGGATGTGGCATCACGGACTGAAAAGTGAAGCAAGAAGTATTTAAAAAAACCAAAAACGCATTCTTTCCAAAGGCCAGCAGGGGGCGTCTCTTATGGCTGAAGTTGAATTAGAAGTAAAAATGACATAGTTCTCATTTGATTTGTTACCTCGGTAAACATTTTCCTCATGACTCTATGGTCTCAACTGCTACTTTCAAGTCTCCTTCAAGACAGCATGATGCTAATTTTGTAAACTATGGTCTCATTCAGAGTAAAATAGACGATAAAGGATGGTATAATTTAAGGCATGGCTACTTTGCGACTGACAAGGCTCTGTTATTCAAGTGTATTTAGTGTCTAGGGCTGAAAAATGTATGGAAAATTTGTTGAAAATGTACGGTGGCCAGCGGGGTCAAATGACGTGCATTTACACAAATGAGCTGCATACACATGAATGCATTGCATAAACAGAAACACTTTGCAAAAAGAAAACGCTGCAAACACGGAAACGCGATGCATAAATTAAAACAAATGCAAAAAGAAAACGCTGCATATCCAGTCACACAACAGAAGTGCCACAAGCCTCTAGGGGCAGTCTTTAGCTTTTCAGTCACTGTGACTCAATGGGTGCGAAAGTGGTGTTCTACTACCGATCCCTGTGTTCTCTGTTATTTATGTTTATCCATGGAGATGACAGTATACAAACCTTAACATACAACTTTTCCCTCAACTAACGTTACTTTTCTCGCTACTGCCCCTAGAGGTCTGTAGCACTCCCGTTGTGTGACTGGATGTGCAGCGTTTTCTTTTCGCAGCATGTTTCTGTTTATGCATGCAGCTCGTGTGTGTTTATGCACGTCATTAGCCCCCGTCGGCCAAAATGCAACATTCAAACAGTGGAAGATGCAATTAGTATGTATGATAAAGGTAGAAGGTGCCACAACATACTGTTAGAAATGAAGCTACAGCTCTATAAATGATGTTCTCTAAACACAAGGGAACATGCAGCAAAAAAATTACATTATTTTTTATATTTGTTTCAAATATATATCCGCAAAAATGACAAATTTCCATTCTCACAAACATCACATCACAGTTGCACGATATTTGATTATAATATCATAATAAAATAAAATATTAATAATAAAATAATAATATAATAAAATCACGATATTTGAACTGAATTTCCCTTCTCAGACATTTAAAGTATTTTTCATTTCATTTCATTTGCAAATAACTGCAATGTGCTTTTTAAAAAGTTTTTATTGCAAAATATCCGACCCCAGTATTCATACCCTCAGTAAAAATCTAAACAGAGAGAGCCAAATTCTAACCTCGAGGCTGGAAAACAGCGGCTCCAACTTTAATTCACAGTCTGTAATTGTTCCTTCTTCACACTGATCAAGATTACTCCACATTTTAATTTTGCTGCAGATCAGATAATTAAAATTTATCACAAAATTGTCAAACAGAAGCCATTTCGGATCATTTGTATTCCGCCATTTCTCCTCAATCTCTGCTGGCAAAAATAAAAAATGCAGACGGCGTAAATGTTGCGGCGGCGCACTCGATAAACATGTGGCGTTTTAATTTCCTGAATTCAGAATGTGGCATTTCTCTCGAGCACGGTTGTGACATTTAAAAAATATTACTTGGAACCCAGATATTTTTAATCCACAAACGAATGTGTTTTAAGACGCAGACAAAGAGAAGATAATCATGTTTCTGTAAATAACTAAGTAAATAATGCCCTGTGCTGTTGACTGATATGATTTTGGCTTAAAGCATTCTGCATGTGGATAAAAAAAAAACTGCACAAATGATAAAGAAGGCGTTTTGTAAAGCATCAAAGGAATTCTGCATCTCTAAGCAGAAAGCAGACGAAATGTGGAAAATGTTCAAATACGGAGCATCAGGCATGAAAAGAATATTTATTTACAATCTAATTATAAATTGTGTGACTGAGTGGAGCTCCCAGGTCGCCATGAAAACCAAGTTTGAGCTTCTGAAGTGGCCTCGAGTTACGAGACGACGCTTCAGTCTGCAGCTCTGAGGCACCAATAGGAGGATGAATCATCAGTAAAAGCTTTTGGTGAATAAATAAAAACTTGAAGATACGTACACCACGTCTCCCGCATAGTGCCTGATGCGAAAGTCTCGGTCGAACTCCAAACTCTTGTCGGTCGGCGAGAGCTGCAGAGAGAGAAGAGCGGCGAGTGAGCAACAAGGGAACAATGCATTCACAGAGCAAAGCCTTCGGGCGAAGAAAAAGACATTCAGCGTTTATGTGGAAAAGCAGCGTCACCGTTTACAGGCCGTGACTGTACGACCGTCACCAGCGTCTTCATTAGCAGCGTCTGAACAATCTGTTAGCTGTCGGTGGAGCCGTTTCAATGCACAGGACTGATGGTTGAATACGAAGGGCGAGTGGTGAGTCAGCGGCAGCATTGTACCCGGTTGTTGCTTTATATCTCCAAAAGGTCACAATTGAAATGACAGACTTTACAAGGTTTACTTTCGGCCTTCCGCTGTTGATATCAAGTCCTTCTAATAACCAGATGTGGTATCAGGTATTCGTGGTGCGCTATTGTTTGTTTTCATTTGAGAATTTCTCTAAATTTCTAACTCAATAACAAAATCCTTGTTGTTGTTACGTAACCCTATGAGTCATTTAGGAGATTTTTTTTTAGCTATTAAAATAACAATTTGCTGTTATTTTACAGATTTAT